TTACCAAGTTACTGAGTCAAAACTGTTACCGCTCTTGATTGCATAACAACTCTTCTCTCTGTTTCTCTTCTTCCTCCTTAACATGTAAGATATATGGGACCTTCTGTATGCATAGCTAAAAATCTTGAGTGTGCCTGTCATACACATGTTCAAATGATCTCTGGATCAATTCTGGGTTTGCTTTCCTGGAAAAAAGCTTACCTGAAGAGCATTGTTCAGATGTTCCATGAGAGACTGCAGCACTGACAGGGTAATCAGGGGGCTCCTGCGTACACATCTCAGTGTGCTCTGCAGGCTCCTCAATCTGCCTGAAGGCACATGAAAACAGAGTTCACAGGTCAACCTTGATTATTTGACCCAACCTGCATCTTGTTTCAGACCTGGAGCACAGCATGGGGATTGAAGTATTCAGGGGGGCATGCTCTGCTCCCTGCTCAGCTGGAAGAATACAGCCCAGACTGAGTGACACTGTCTCCCCAGGGAGGGGGTGAAGTAGACCAAAATCAAAGCATGCTGGCACATTGAAGGACTGTGCTGCAGCTTCTCTCAGAAGGCTTGATTTTGTGGGAGAAACCTTCCCAGGAATAATTTAACCTTGGTTTTTCTTGGGATCCTATGACCCCAGCTGACTTCCTGCTCCTGGGTTAGGGGACTGGACTTGATGATCTTCTGAGGTCCCTTCCAGCCCTAATGTCTATGTCTCTTGTTTTTATTTTTATTCTGGAGCAGCTATTTTTACTCTGGAGGAAAAATCCTGAAAGTGTACAATCATGGTTTCTAGTGGGAAGTAGCAACTCTCCTAATAGAAATTAAATGTCTGTATGTGACCATGATACATGTAATCTTTTTCTGCTTGTATGTATTCAGATATTTCTGTGAAGATCACTTTTAACCTGTGATTTTGATCGTGTTCATTTCTTTTGAGTTTCTCACCTGGCTTCCCCTTCTGTATCGCATTAGTAATAAACCACTTGTCTCATTTTCAAGGTCTTTGTGGCTGTCATCTCTCACTTATTATGAAGTGACCAAGATGCTAGTCTCCTTCTGCCACTTGCTAAATTTTCTAAGAAACACCTTTGTCATGTCTTCCTTCCTGGTTGGGAAGTATTCTCACTTAACATCCATAAAGCTACCTTGCCTCAAAGTTCTATTTTGTCCTTGTATATTCGATGCCAAAAAAACCCTTAAGCTGCTGGTGTGCTATGACCACTGCCTGTCATGGCAATATTGCCTGTATTGTTTCTTTGTTTCCTTGTACTCCCATCTCGCATCTCCTACTTAGGTGATAAGTTATTTGAGGTAGAGATCAAGCTGTTCTGTATCTACACTGTGCCAAAAGGCATGAGATCCTGGTCCTTTAATAAGGGTCCTTGGTATTAAGATAATGGAAATAATAAAACCTTCTTTTGCTGTTAAATTGGCTCCTCTTTTACTCTTGCCTTTCTGGTTTTTGCACTGGTATGGACCTTGAGTGAAAGAGATGGTATTTCCCTAGGCTTCTACTCACACTTCTATCTTTGACTTGGGTTTCTTCCAAGCAGTTATCTCCTGTGTGTATTACTATTAATGGTCTAGTGTTCCCAAATACAAAAATGGGCTTCTCTTCTTAGTTTTCCTGCTGTCCAGGGAATTCTGAGTGATGTCAGAGAAAACTGACCAGTGTCCCTTTTTTAATGCTCATCAACTGCATGAGAGCACTGAAACTCTTCTGTATTCATATAGAATGTATTTGTTCAGGTCACTAAGTGAAGAGTATCTCCAGAACTTGAAGGGTTAGAAACACAAGGTAAAATTCTGTAGCTTTTCCTTTGTGTATAGGCCACCGGAACTTTACATTTGCCCTTTTTAATCCCATTTTACTAAAAGTTAATGTTAAAGTCCTAGTACTAATTTGGGTGAAATTTAAAGGGTGGTGTAGAACCAAAAGCTTAATTTATGGCATTGTCAGTATCTTCTGCCATAAATACTTCTTGTTTTAGAAATAAAATCTTACTCAAGTGACTAGAGGGACTTGTTGTGAGTAAAGCATAGTGTTCTTGGGCACCATATTTTTGCCTTTATGAATATCTGAAAGTATTTTTTTTCTCCTCCAGATTTGTGGTGATGATAATAGTACATATTGCTAGATACTGTGAGTGGATGAAAGTGTTCAAAAATTGTCTTTTTGGGAAGGAAGCAACTATATTAGGATACTCCAGGATCAAACTTTCAAAGCTCCAAGAGATAAGTTAACTTTGTCAGCTGCATTTGCTTATTTCTTCAAATGTCTTTGTGGGTATATACATTAAGAATTCAGTTCACAAAGTCAGCATTATGTACTTAAATTTATTTTTTCTTGAGTTCTTATACCTCCCTTCAAACTCTGAATCTGGCCATCCTCAATTATGCTTGATTTTGCATGTTGTACTGTAAGGTGGCACAGGTGCAGAAAATGTTTAAAAAGACTGTGAGTTTTCCAAAACCATAACTGTAAATTATAGTTTGTCACTTTACTAATTAAAGTACACTTTGGTTGTTACCTAGCGTTCCTGTGAAGAACACTTGTAAAGCCTCCCCAGTGTAATTTTTCCTCACTTCTCACGATACAGTCTGTTTCATTCCTCCATGTCCTTTGTAGAAACTATTTCATTTTGTATCGTTAAAGACTAACAAGACTGACCTTTTGTTTTCCTGTGCTGAAAGACTTCTACTCTGCCTGTTTCCCATTGTTAGTTTTAAATCAGTATTTGAATGGATAGTCTACTTAATTTTCCATCTTATGGTACTGTTTGTAGACATACCAGACAACCTCCTTGAGGTTGTAAATGGGGATAAATTTGCGTAAGATTACATGCCTCTGAAGTAAATCTGTATTAATGTAACAACTGGGGAAAGGGTGACAGGAAGGCAGAAATGGATAAGTATTGCCTTCTAGAGTATTTCTCCTCTTCCCCCACTTTGTTCACTAGCTCATGTCATTACAAAATACTTCTGCTGTAAAGAAACAAGTGCTTTAACTTTCAAGAAGAAGCTCTTGAAAAATGCCTGTGTTTTGAGAGGGGGATGCTAGCGAGTTAATCTTTTTCTTTTAGGTAGCAGTACTGTGTGCCTTATCACACTTGAGTTCTGTAGCTTTTGCTTTGGAGCTTCCCCCCCCCCCCCAGGTGAATTCACAGCTCTTTCAGCTGGGGAAGGAGG